ACAGAAACAAGGTAGGGATGAATAAACAAAGCCATACAAAAATCCCTACATAAGTAGCCACTGAGTCAATGTTACAGGCTTATGGGAATAATCCATTGTAAGACTTTATAGCATTAGTCAGTCTAAATGCTTTTATTCAAACCTGAATTCATGCAAATGAAAGGAATTTAACATTTAGTTGTAGGTAAAAGTTTTTCTTGGAAATATTTGGCTACTTATGTAGGGATTTTTGTATGGTTTTGTGTATTCATCCTTACCTTGTTTCTGTATTTTTTAGCATTGCATCCTTTTTTTTTCTAAATTTTTTTATTACTTCTTCATTAATAATTGACATGCTAGAGGGCTTAAGCACCAGCCAAAGCACAGGCTTCTCTCCAACCAAAAAAAAAATAAAAAATGGAGACTTGCTGCAGCACTCCTATTGCCAGCAGCAACCACATTACTTGCTTATAGTGCTGAACCATCAGTGGAATATGCTAATCGATTATATCCAACTAACTGATTATTGTCATGTGATTAATCTTTCTATCTTTAGCTCTCTTTATTTTGTACAAGCATTTTTAAACCACCCTTCATTTAGTTTGATAGACATCTTCAGTTTCTGCTGGTGATCACCATTTTATGGGAAAAAAACTGCTACTACTTTTGGCCAAAACTTTTTGCTTAAATTTTCTTAAAAGATAATGTGAACACTTCATTTTAAGTTATTTAATGGTCCCCACATTGATCTTGTGTGACATTTTACTATCACTACTAATGATATTAATGTTTTAATTAAAACATATCTTGATTTCAATTAGAAATAATTAAGTGACCAGTAAGCCAATTCATTTTTCTAGCTTCTTCAGAATATTTTGCCCTCACCTGCTGTACTCACTAAAACTAAATAAGCTTATGTAACGTCTTCTCACCCAAGAAAATTTCTATAGCTTTTAAATAGATGTAATTTAACATACAAACACTTTCATGAACAAAAAGAACTAGAAGTTTATAAGAAAATACCCAGCTCTGTTGTTTGTTCTTAAGTCTTCTTAACTTCCCACTGAATGTCTTTGGTCAATTCTACAGAAGCTCCGACTAAAAACTTTCTCCCTAAACCATAAATTACTACTCAATCCACTTTATTTACTCTATTATGACTTTAAAAGTCTAAATCATTTGTCAAACATCAAAACTTAATATCCATTTTTAAATGATTGGAAAGTGTTTGAAATACTTAATCCATTTAACAAGCATCTGGTATCTCTTTATTTAATTTTTCTATGAACATCAGTACTGTTGGTCAAATCTTGTCTATTTTTGAATATCTTTTTTAAAATAATTTTCTTTCCAACAGTGGCAAATATTTGTTTCTTTTGTTGAATTTCATGCAAAACTACTGTATAGCTACCTATGATAGCCATCCCTAATTTTAAAGTGATAGACTAAAGAAAGGCAGCTAGTAAACACCACCCACTACCAACTGATGGTCTACTGTAATTTAATAGCAGAATTTGAAAGTCACTCTCAGTGCTGGATTACCCAATAGGCAGACTTAAGCACATACTTAGGGCACCAGCAAAGCTGGAGCACCAAAAAAAATGCAAAAATTTTTGAAATGATTTGATATTTCAAAGAAAGCATGGAAGTAGTCATCATGGGAAAAATCAAAACTTTGTTAGACTTCCTTACACTCCGCTACACACTCTCTTCCCAATTTTCTGTTTTCTTATCCTCACCTAAACCAGGTCTGCATTGAGCAATTTAAATTTTATGAAGTAGTATGTGTGTTTTCAATGTACTTTGTGTACATTTCTGTAAGTTAGCACCACTTTTGTCAGTGGAATTATGTCACTTGTGTATTTGGGAGCATGAAATTGCTGAAAGTAATAGATATCATGTATGTATGCTAAAAATGGTGTACATTATGTAATTTGTTGTTGTTTTTTCTATTTCAAATAACTGACATAAGAGGTAGGATGAAATGTAATCGAGTGGAGCACAGAAACATAAATTGGAGGAAGAAAAGAAACAAAAAAAGTAGTGAAATTACCTAAAAACTTCCAAAGCTGACATCATTTTTGTTGTCACATGTCACGTTTGCAAAATAGATTTCTCAAAGTGCAGAGGTCAGTCTTATGACAATGTTGCCAACATGTCAGGGCATTATAAAGGAATGCAACAGAAGATTTTAGAGCAGAACAAATATGCCATATTCATACCATGTGCTGCACACTCTCTCAATCTTGCTGGTCACAGTGCTGTTGATTGTTGTCCAGTGGTAGTGAGTTTTTTCTCAACAGTCCCATTACTTTATACATATTTCTCTGCCTCAACACATCAATAGGCAGTTCTTAAAACATATTTGGGCAATGATCGTGTGTTGAAATCACTTTCTGATACTCGCTGGGATGCATATGCAGTGGCAACAAGTGCAATTCTGGAATCCTAGTCAAAGATTGTGGATGCATTAAAAAGAATAGCACGAAAGGGAGAAACTATACGAGAGGCAGAAAACATTGCAAATAAGATGCAAGAACTAGAGATTGTATTCATGTTGGCCATGTGAAATGAAATTTTATAACACTTTCACCATACAAGTCAAGCCCTCCAAGAAATGAAATTGGATTTGAAAGCATGTGCAGACCTCTATCAATCATTACCAGACCACTTACACACTTTGAGGAATGATTTCGAAAGATTTGAAGACATATCAAAAGGTATCTAGCCTGATACCAACTACAAAGATGCCCAGTCCTGCAAGCAAATGATGGCAGTGCACCAGAAACAGCATTGAATCCTAGAGACAAATTTCACGCATCTACTTACTATGCTATAATTGGTGCACTTGTAGCTCGTATGAAGAGGAGAGGTGAAGTGTACAAAGAAGTATCAAGTAGACTTTCTTTTCTAAACAATATGGACTTATCACACAAACAATATTCACAAGGTTCCCAAAAGCTAGTTGACTCATAACCTGTTGATTTGAACATGAATCTCTGTGGAGAACTACGGCAGTTCCACTCTTATATGCTAAAGTTTAATAAAACATGAAAAACAAAATTCAGTCACATTGATTTTCATGACACCCTTGTGAAAGACAAGATACAATGTGTATTTCCAAATGTAGATATCACACTACGTATTTTTCTAACATTGATGATTACTAATGGCTCTGCAGAAGGATCTTTTTCTCAGCTTAAAAGAATAAAAACCCTCAGAGAACAACAACTTGTCAGGGCAGACTTGATTTGCTTTCCCTACTGTGTTTAGAAGTG